CGAAGCACTCAGCCTAACCTAACCCTAAACCTAACCCTAAACCTAACCCTAAACCTAAACCTAACCCTAAAGCAAACCCCTAAACCTAATCCTTACCTTAATTTAAATCGGCTTTCTGCCACTATGCTGTTTTAAAGCGCCCTTCTGTCGCCGCGCTGTTGTCGCGGCGGTGATGACGCACGGTGATGACGTCGCGGCTTTAGCGACGCAGTTTTATCACCGCTATTTTGACGAGTGCGGTTTTGTCGTGCCACGAGTTTACAGAGTCAGCATCTTGCCCCCAACAATCTTACATACCACTGTGAAGCGGTATATAAGTCTCAGTGCTATTTCTATTGCTTCTCTATGTCAGGGTTCCAAGTAACACCCCCAAGGCTTAAGTTTCCTCAAAGTTCCATTTTATTAGAGATGTCCTATCGGTGCACCTGGGAAAACCCGAATCTGAAAGTCTCCCAGGTTTTCCCCACCCAATTGAAAGCCCAAGTCCCTGCCCAGCACCCACATGTCCGCCCCATGGTCCAATCAGGCCCCGTCCAAAACTGGAGATACCTTCCAGTCACGCCACTCAAGGTGCAGGGCAGGACGTCCTTGACTCTCTGAGAAAGGAATGCTATTTTGACTATATATCTCCCATTCTCCATATAATTCCCCCCCTCCCATTTCCCCACAGCATAAATGTCGCAGGTTGGAAGGCCCAAAGGTTAAACAATGACATTCTACTCAATTCTACTCTCCTATTCTATTCTATTCTATACATTCCTATTCTATTCTACATTCCTATTCTATTCTACATTTCTATTCTATTCTATATTTCTATTCCATCCCTATCCCTATTCTATAGCTATGATGGCGCAGTGGTTAGAATGTAGCATTGCAGACTGAACTCTGCCCACTGCCATCAGTTCGATCCTGACCAATGTAAGGTTATTGCATCTTTCCATCCTTCCGAGTAAAATGAGGACCCAGATTATTAGGGGCAAGAGGCTGACACTATAAACCACACAGAAAAAACAGTAAAGCACTGTGAAGCGGTATATAAATCTATAAATAGATAAATATAAAGCGCTATTACTATATCCATCCGCACCAGAAGCGATGAGCAAAAACAGCTCAATAACATTTCTGTCTCATCCAGACTTCCTGAGGTAAATTTTTGGCGAAATACTAAAAGAATGACACACCGGCACCCCAAAGTCGTTTTACCTCTGTGAACAAACAAATGAATTTCTGTTAGAATGTCTTGCAAAGCCAGGCCCTTCAAGGTTTTCAGTTCCATGATGTCTGAGCAAAATGTCAAGAAGAAACCAGTTCCATGGTTTCTATTCTATTCTCCTTTCCTCTCCTCCTCCTCCTCCTCCCTATTCTATTCCTATTCTATTCTTTCTATTCCTCTTCCATTCCATTCCTCTTCCATCCCATCTTTTCTATTCTATTCCTCTTCCATTCCATTCTCATTCCATCCCATATTTTCTATTCTATTCTTTCTATTCCTCTTCCATTCCCATTCCATTCCTATTTCATCCCATCCCATATTTTCTATTCTATTCCTTTCCTCTTTCTTCTTCCCTATTCTATTCCTCTTCCTCTTCCATTCCCATATTTTCTATTCTATTCCTCTTCCATTCTCATTCCATCCCATATTTTCTATTCTATTCTTTCTATTCCTCTTCCATTCCCATTCCATTCCTATTTCATCCCATCCCATATTTTTTATTCTATTCTATTCTTCTTTCCTCTCTCTTCTTCCCTATTCTATTCCTCCTCCTCTTCAATTCCCATTCCATCCCATATTTTCTATTCTATTCTATTCCTCTTTCTATTCCCATTCCATCCCATATTTTCTATTCTATTCTATTCTTTCTATTCCTCTTCCATTCCCATTCCATTCCTATTTCATCCCATCCCATATTTTTTATTCTATTCTATTCTTCTTTCCTCTCTCTTCTTCCCTATTCTATTCCTCCTCCTCTTCAATTCCCATTCCATCCCATATTTTCTATTCTATTCTTTCTATTCCTCTTCCATTCCCATTCCATTCCTATTTCATCCCATCCCATATTTTCTATTCTATTCTATTCCAACCCATTCCGTCCCAGTAAGCCACCTGCACACTGATTCCCATTTGAAGGATACTGCGGTAGGCGGAACTGAAGTCCAGATTCAGCATCCAGTCCAGGATGTTGGCGATATCAGACTTGAGCGGCTGCCCCGTGCAAGTGTAGACGGTCTCTTCGGTCACTTGGCCAAACGCCATGTAGGTGCTCTGCAAGACGGAAGAGAGAGAGAGAGAGAGAGATGAGGAATCACTGGTTTGTTGGCTTGGGCCCAGTTATCAGCTTCCTTCAGAGTCGGAGATCAGTGGGGCAGAGGAACAGCTGGAGCCTGTTCCCAGTGTGCGCATGTGCAGAGTTGCCAGACGAAGGGAGCAGCTAAGGAACAAGGGTTGACTTGGGAGTGAAGCCACAGGTGGATGAGGAATGGCCCCACCCAGAGGAAATAAAAGAGGAGCGAAAGGGGAGTGGAGTTTGCAGGAGGCCATTAGTTCCTTCCTGCATTCTTGCCAAGTATTGCGGCGTCTGAAAGATCTCGGCCTGGCCACTTTCCAAGCCTGATAAAAGGTCGGTAATTGTGGACTATCTTGAAAGACTTTGGGAGAGGAAAGACTTTGCTGGAGAGGAATTCACTGTCAATTAAATAAAAGGCACTTATCGGGACTGACCTAGGCTTCCCCAGTGCTGCTGGGGAAGCCTTAAGTCAGAAGAGGAAGCCTTACCTGCAAGATGTTCAGAGATCTGCGCATATCGCCGTTGGACAGCGTCACCAAGGCTTTCATTCCGTCATCGCTTACATCAACGCTGAAAGAGCAAAAGAGGGATTGAATAGGCCGCTGAGAATCCTGTGGTTTCCTCCTCATCCACCCCCTCCCAGTGATCCTACACAATAGGTCGCACAACTGTGAAAAGCTCACTCTTTTCATCCAGCACTCCTGGCGAGGATTCTGGCAATTTTAACGTTTTATCAACATCATGCCCAGGGAGTAGGGATTTCTACCGGGGAGTAGAGATAGCTAGTAGTAACTTGTAGCCAAAACAACGTTATTTCTTCTGGGAACCAAGGACGTTCTCACCAGCACTTGGAGAGGTATGGACCAGAGCCATCCAGATTTTGGAGGGTGACCAAAAGGAGGTGGGGGTGGGGAAGAGAACTTTGCGCTTTGAATTGGGTCGGGAAAGCCTGGGGAGATTCAGAGTCAGGTTTTCACCAGCTGTGCCAATATGACATGTGGCTCAGGGGTTAAGACGCTGAGCTTGTCGATCCAGAAGTTTGGCAGTTTGGCGGTTCAAATCCCTAGCGCCACGTAATGGAGTGAGCGCCCGTGATTTCTCCCAGCTTCTGCCAACCTAGCAGTTCGAAAGCACGTAAAAATGCAAGTAGAAAAATAGGGACCACCTTTGGTGGGAAGGCAACAGCGTTCCGTGCGCCTTCGGCGTTGAGTCATGCCGGCTAAATGACCACGGAGACGTCTTTGGACAGCGCTGGCTCTTCGGCTTTGAAACTGAGATGAGTACTGCCCCCTAGAGTCAGGAACGACTAGCACATATGTGCGAGAGGAACCTTTTCCTCAATAAATCTATACTTTGAGGAACCCTGCCTTGGAGTTTTGATTTCACCTGGGCTGTTACTTGGAACCTTGTCAATTGGAGCAGCGAGATCTCGGACTCCCTTCTGTCGTTCCCTCCCCGAGGCTTTTTACTCACTTCTCCTTCTCAATAACATGCTTCAACCGAGGGACCATGAGTTCTGGCGTCAAAGGGCCAAACCGGAACCTGGTGCATCTGGATTGTAGAGCTGGGATTATTTTGGAGAGGTAGTTGCAGATCAGGCAGAATCGGGTGTTCTCGGTGAATTTCTCAATCACTGGAAAAGACGTGTGAAGGCAAAAGTTTAGGTTAGTGCTGCCAGATTCATGGCAATCTTAACACAGGCTATCAAAATTACTGATATGTCAACTGCGTACAAGGAGAATTTGTATAAAATGTTTTATAGGTGGCACATGTCACCCGAAAGATCGGCTAAAATCTTCAAAGACAAATCAACTAAACGTTGGAAATGTCACCAGACACCAGGGTCGTATTATTGTATGCGGTGGATATCTACAGAAGCAAAAAAATACTGGGCAAAAATCCAAATGTGGTTGGAGAAGAAGAGGCAGCAACATATTGATCTAAAACCTGAACTGTTCTTGTTGGGTATCTTGTCAGAAAAATATAGTAAGGAAAATGTATATTAGATTATTCATGTAATAACTGCACTAGAATTGTATTCACACAATATTGGAAGGGTGAAGAGATCCGCATAGATGAAAACGTGATTTAAAAAATATTAGAATGTGCAGAAATGTGTGTGTGTGTTGCATTTGTACTGATAAATAAATAAAGGGAGACTAGTCTCCCTTTATTTATTTATCAACACAAATGCAACACAAATGTAACAAGGCAACATAAAAAAATGGCTTTCTGCCTGGATGGCTCCTAGGGTGAGTCGAAAGACAGAAAAGGGAAGCAGTATGCTCCCTCCCATATTTGGGCATACCAGGGATTGTGACACAATACACATACATACATACATACGTACGTAGGTACGTGTGTGTGTGTTGCATTTGTGCTGATAAATAAATAAAGGGAGACTAGTATAGATCTATTTCAAGCTATTTAGCTCTCATCAGCTAGCCATACCCTTACTGGGAATTGAACCTGGGCTGTATTACATATCAGGCCGTTGTATTAGTCACTAAGCCACGGGCTCTCCTCCTTTATCAGCTAAGCCAGGGAAATAGGTATGTATTGTGTCACAACTCCTGGTATGCCCAAATATGAGAGGGAGCATACTGCTTCCTGTATGCTAAAAAAATGGCTTTCTGCCTGGATAGCGCCTGGATTGTCTCCATGTTTGGAATACTATTTGTCTTGCCCCCCCCCACCCTTCTGAATTGTGAGCCGCCCTGAGTCCCCCCAGGGAAAAGGGCGGCATACAAATAAAGGAAAACTAAACTAAACTCCTAGGGCGAGCCGAAAGACAGAATAAGGGAAGCAGTATGCTCCCTCCCATATTTGGGCATAATTAATATGGTGGTAAGCTTTAATTATTATGACAGAAAAAATTAGTACCCAGATGACACACTGTTTAATGAATGATGAAATGTTTGTATTAAAAGAAAATAAAAAAAATGGGGGGAAAAAAGAGGCTAAGCTGTCCTGTTGGGTCATCAGATCAAGATTGCAGTCGTCAAAAAGTTAACAACAATCGTATCTAGGATTTTTGATCTTTGTAGCATCTCTTTCTGGATGGAATGGGGCATCAACTCACCACGCCTGAGAGCATTTTGTGCATCCTGGGTCATGGCGTCAGCTTCATCCAGAATCACCAGCTTAAAACCTCTCCTAACAGGACAGAGAAACAAGAAATGGGAACTCTAAAATTCAATGGACTTCATTGGAGAGCCATGGTGGCACACTGGTTACACTGTAGTACTGCAGGCAATTTCTGCAGACTGCTGGCTACTTGCAATTTGGCAGATCGAATCTCACCTGGCTCAAGGTTGACTCAGCCTTTGATCCTTCTGAGGTCGGTAAAATGAGGACCAAGATTGTTGGGGGCAAATAGGCTGACTCTGTAAACCACTTAGAGAGGGCTGTAAAGCACTGTGAAGAGGTATATATTGTCTGTCTGTCCTTCCTTCCTTTCTTGCGCCATCCATCCATGGTGCACAGTGGTAAATCTACAATATTGCAGGCTAATTCTGCTGCTGCCAGCAGTTCGATTCTCAGCAGCTCAAGATTGACTCAACCTTCCGTCCTTCCGAGGTCGGTAAAATGAGGACCCAGATTGTTGGGGGCAAGAGGCTGACTCTGTAAACCGCTTAGAGGGCTGTAAAAGCACTACGAAGCGGTATTTAAGTGCTATTGTTATTGTGCTTTGTGCTCACCCATTGGTCACTGATTAAACCCATCTAGTTGTTGTGCTGGCAGCAGATTCGGACAGTGAGGAGGTTGGGGAGGAACATGGGCCAGTCCTGGAGGGTGGGGAAGGTTCGGACGAGGGCTCTACGTCAGAGGCAGAGAGAGGGCCAAAGCTGTCTGGCAGTTCTCAGCTGCCTTTGGAGCTAGACAGCAGTGAGGCAGAGGAACAACTGGAGCCTGTTCCCAGTGTGCGCATGCGCAGAGCTGCTAAAAGACAAGAACAGCTCAGAAATCATGGTCAACTTGGAAGTAAAGTCAAGGTGGATGGTGAATGGTGAATGGCCCCTCCCATGGGAAATAAGAGAAGCAAAAGGGGAGTGGGCTTTTGCAGGAAACCATTCGTTCATTCGTTTCAGGAGTGTGAAGATCTGCCCGTGAATCTCAGAGACTCTGTGCCAAGTCTTTCCTTGCACAGCACTGCGCTTGGGAAAATATTGACATGGCAGCTTTCCAAGCTAGATAAGGTCTGTGATCATAACTTCACCTTTGAAAGACTGTTTGCCAGGCCTTGGCTGAATGTGAATGAGAGGAATTCACATCCGTTTAGTAAAAGGGGTTTTGCCGGGACCAGAACTCCGCCTCGTGCTTTTTGGGGAAACCTAGGTCAGAACAATTGTAGGAGAGGATGGATAGATACAGACAGACAGACACATATGTATCTGGCCAGAACATCGTCTGTTTCCAAGGAATTCAATATGCAGAGGAGAAAAGTCTCAAAGGTGCTTACTTGAAGATGGTTCTGGTGCTGGAAAAATTCAGGATAGGCCCTCGGACGATATCAATGCCTCGGTCGTCAGAAGCATTCAGCTAAACAAAGGAGGAATGTACATTAAGAGCTGGGGTGGCGCAGTGGTTAGAATGCAGTGCTGCATGCTGATTCTGCCGACTGGCAGCAGTTCGATTCTGAATGGCTCAAGGTTGACTCAGCCTTCCATCCTTCCAAGGTAGGTAAAATGAGGGCTCAGATTGTTGGGGACAAGAGGCTGTAAATTGCTTAGAGAGGCTGTAAAGCACAGTGAAGCGGTATATAAGTCTAAGTGCTATTGCTATCTATCTCCATGTCTATCATCCATCCATCATCTCTAAATCTATTTTCCTATCTTTCTCTCTATCTCTCTCTTATCGATCTATCATCTCTACTTCCTATCTATATTTCTATCTATTATCTCTATATCTATCTTCCTATCCATCCATCCATCTATTATCTCTATATCTTCCTATCTAGCCCTCTCTATCTTTCTATCTATCTTCCTATCTATGTATCTATCTTCCTATCTATGTATCTATCTTCCTAT